TCAAAATCGCGTAACGAAATCGACAACCAGTTTGTAAACTGCTGTGTAGATTACGGTCGATTGCAGGATTTGCAAAGCATGCAGGCAACTTAGCATCAACAGATATTTTCAAAATTTGTCATGTTTTTAATCAAGTGCTTACATGATTTGATGCACTTTACAGATCTTGATTATCAATTTGATCGTCTTCACTGGGGGATGCCATCTAATTTGACGCAAGTGATATGAGATTTGGAATCTGATTGGTCAATAGGACGGACATGGAAGGGACATAACTTGTAATAACTACTGGTGGGGCTACGTTTGAGCCCAGAAAATCCAGTCTAGTTCGGCAAGGGTTGAAACTGGACTTTAACAGTCAGTAAACTGCCTTGCCTCAGGAAGATGGTACTTCTTCACATCATACACTACTCAAAAAAAGTTAAAGAACACCATTTTTATCATATGACTATACAGTCAAGTCCCGTTAATCCAACATGGTTGGTTGCATATGATTATGTTGGATTAACGAAACTAAGTCGTATCAACGTTTGTGATTGAAAATCAGACTACACGATAGACAATGATACCAACACATCATTACTGCTTTGGATTAAGGAAACAGATTAGTGACTGATTTCGGTAATTTGTTGCAAATTAGGTGTGTCAGAGTTGGAGTGCAAGACTAAGCTTAACGGGTCTAAATAGCACCGATTAAATCGGTTCCGATCAATTGTGTCGGATAAAGCAGATTGTCACATTAACGATTGGCTGATTAAGGAGACTTGACTGTATTTAATTGGTCATGGAAGGTGTGTATTAAAACACACAGCCTTCCAATTGTGAGTGTTCGTTAACCTGTTTTATATGACCCAGTCCTTGAGACCATCTGAGGGTACATAGTGTTCTTGTAGCAGTGTTTTATTGAGTCTGTTGTATCTTAGATATTGATACAAATGAGGTTAATGCTGTATATAGATATTCCAAAAGTTAAAGCAGTGGCAATCTCATTAAAATCCGATCTTAGTTCTCGTTACCACTAAACAAAGATCTAAGGACATCCCATTACGGGTCACGTCAGACCGACCTTGCGCGAACTTTGACCGACCAATAGAATGACCAATCAGAAGGCAGCTTTCTCGTGCTTTATGTCACTAATTTCAAACTGGAGACTACGCTTCGAAACATATTTTGACAAATTCTCCATTACAAATTTGATACCTAAACAAAAGAACATTCTGGAATGGCTAATGGATGGTCTAGATTGTATGGATACAGTCGTTAAACCAATAACTATCGTTCGGAATACCCCGTGTTGAAGTTTTCGAGGTTGTATGATTAGAGATCACATTCCGAGTGTCACTTTCATGATCTGGTAAGCGACGCTCTCATTGGACGGATGAAAGGTCGTTCTGACGTGACCCCTAATGGGATGTCTTCTGATCTTTGTATAGCGGTAGCGAGAACTAAGGTCTGATTTTAATGAGATTGAAGCAGTGGTGCTTAATGTTTTTTTCACGTACATATAGAATGAGGTTTTGAGACCTGTCTTGTGGCTGCACATTTCAAAACAACATATGAACGCCATAGGAAAAGAAACATAAAGAAATATATATTGTTCAGCTTAAAAGTCTGTATCATTCTTCACACAAGATTCACATCCTAATCAAAGAGTGGCAACTTTTGAAATTGAGTATTTTCACATAATTTGAACTGAATGATATAGCACCTTTATACACTATTTGCATCAATATGAAGACCATAGTAGCAGTAGATATATGTACCCGAGTCCCCAAGTTATCCGTCCCAGTCCTACAGAGCACCTCCCACTTTTCCTAATTCTGCACCCACCACTGTGTTTTGAGTGGGCATGGTTTTACACCACTCAGCAAAACTCCAGCAATATTCTGTGTTGTTTGTTTGTTGTCTAAAGTCGCACACAGCAATATTCCAGCTATATGACTGCGGTCTGTAAATAATCAGATCTAGACCAGACAATCCTCACCAGACAATCCTGTGATTGACATTACGAGCATTGATCCATAAAATTGGGATACAATGATGTCAGCGAGTCTGACCCAAGATGCTGTTGGTCGCCTTTTATGGCAAGCATGGGTTGCTGAAGACCGATTCTACCCCGGATCTTTCGCGGGTCTGATTTGCAGGTGGTTTGACATATCAAGAGCAAGAACCATATCACCAAAGAAAGTGACTGCATGCAACTTCATAAAAATTTGTTGAAAATTAAAACATTTCCCCTTCAAATTCAGCTTCTGGGGACATCTACTTGTCCAGTATGAAGCTTGCACAGCCATCAGCTAACTATGATACTCCGCAGATAAGGACAGCAATAATAACAACAATAAAAATGCATATATATATTTTGAGGTGGGTGTACAGTGATAATACAATCTCAGCTCCCTGAGGAGTATACAGCCAAAGCAACACAATACCCTGCTCATGGGATCGGTGTACAGTGATAATACAAATTACCCTGGTCACGAGATTGGTGTACAGTCCTAAAACAATCTCAGCTCCCTGAGGAGTGTACAGACAAAGCTACACAATACCCTGGTCATAGGATCAGTTTACAGTGGTAATACAAATTACCCTGGTCACGAGATTGGTGTACAGTCCTAAAACAATCTCAGCTCCCTGAGGAGTGTACAGCCAAAGCTACACAATACCCTGGTCATAGGATCAGTTTACAGTGGTAATACAAATTACCCTGGTCACGAGATTGGTGTACAGTCCTAAAACAATCTCAGCTCCCTGAGGAGTGTACAGCCAAAGCTACACAATACCCTGCTCATGGGACCATGGTACAGTGATAATACAAACTCAGCTCCCTGAGGAGGCCACAACCAAAGCTGTCCTAAAAGCAATAGAAAGAAGGCATTGACATTACATCCTACCGGGTACCCATTCACTGCTGGAGGAACATAGAACAAAGTCATTCATCTTTGGAAACACAATTTTTCACATGACCGAAGACAAAACTGGACACTCGAGAGTCATGCTTGCCAAGCAATGTCACCCATCAACCTACTCTCCATCGCCAGTATATTCACCAATGTCAGGACCGCCTCTGTCGTCTAGTGGATTGAGATAGTGCCTTGAACAGAAGGTCGTTTTGGATTCCCGGCCATGAATGGCATAAAACAGACTGGTCAGCTAAGTAGTACACAGTGTCTGAGTGGAAACTGCAGAATGGTATCTCAGTGAGCTAGTACTATTAACTCGGCATTAGTATAAGCACACAAGCACTCACACGCACACACACATGAATGGATGCACATCACTATATAAGTGCAATAATCTCAAAGATGACACTAAATTCTATTTCACCTCACCTCACCTCATCCTAGATAAGCAACACTGCCCGAGTGTGCTGGGATATGCTCAATGATGATCTACCCAAGTAATTACCCCTTTGTGCTGTGTAATGTCTTATCAGGAAGTGTAGGATAAAACACGTCCGAGGGGTTTTATGATATTTAAAACCCCATCCGCAAGATAAAATGGAGGTGCGTTAGCCCTGAGGTTTTATACCAAGGATAAGGGTTTTAAATATCATAAAAACATGAGGGGAAGTGTTTTATCCAAATTAAAAAACGAAAAAAGAAACTTAAAACAACATTTATCTACATTGCATAAAATATCTGTTGCTGGGGTACAGAACTTGAAAAAGACATTCTTAAAAGAATTGTGATTCATCAGCCCACTCACCGGGCAGCAGAAACAAAGGTTGTGTGTTCGATTCTCAAGAATAAAAAGAAAGTATTTGTCATTGATTTTACATTTCATTAGATTGTGTTCAAATGCAAAATAAATTTCTCATGAGAAACATATATATGTAACAATCTAAACAGAAGTTGTATTAATAAAATCCCAGGGATATTATAACATATTATATGGCAAATATCCCTGGGATATTATATATAATCAGGGATATTATAACATATTATACAGCAAATATGCCTGGGATATTATATATAATCACAGGGATATTATAACATATTATATAGCAAATATCCCCGGAATATTATATAAAATCATGGGGATATTATAACATATTATATAGCAAATATCCCTGGGATATTATATATAATCACAAGGATATAATAACATATTATAGAGCAAATATCCCTGGGATATTATATATAATCACAGGGATATTATGACATATTATATAGCAAATATCCCTAGGATATTATATAAAATCATGGGGATATTATAACATATTATATAGCAAATATCCCTGGGATATTATATATAATCACAAGGATATAATAACATATTATAGAGCAAATATCCCTGGGATATTATATATAATCACAGGGATATTATGACATATTATATAGCAAATATCCCTAGGATATTATATAAAATCATGGGGATATTATAACATATTATATAGCAAATATCCCTGGGATATTATATATAATCACAGGGATATTATAACATCCCAGTGTATGAGATTTAATACCACTGGAGTACAATAAGATGACATCACACAAGGCTTATAAGTAAAACGAGATATACCGGGAACAGCTGCTGTACAAAACAAGTGAGTCCTCCATGTTTGTCATGTATAAAACAGCACATTCACCAGGCTGGAACAATCGATGTGATCAACAGACATTTAACCTCCAAGTGAGAGGAAAGTCAAAGGTGATCCATGTCCACATTGATCCCATACGTGAAACCAGTATGCACAAGAATGGCGCTGACAATACAAACATAACAATCTATCGAATATTGGATCTGAACCCACTACCTGTGTATCCTGGCTTCAAGGGACGCAACTCTGCACAGCATGTTGTGGCAGCTCAGCACAGTGAGTGCTGGGTGTTGTAAGACAGTGACACATCCAGTCGTCTAAGGCGCAGTGATTCGCTGTGCAGAGTTGCATCCCTTGGGGACGCCAGAAACCTATGATCGTGGGTTCGAATCCCACTTCGCCCTGATTATGTTTCTAGGTTTGTCAGCACCATACCCGTGCTCGTGGGTTTCACCGAAGTGGTAAACGTCCGAGACCTGCATCACTTCGGACTTTCCTCCCACATTAACCTGACACGCCGTGATATAACTGGAATACTGTTAAAAGCGGCGTTAAACCCAACTCACTCACTCACTCACAAAAACAAGGTGCCAGATAAAGAAATATGCATGACAAAACATGGCAAACTACACATTTCTTTAACAAACAACCAAAGAAATGAGATTCACAATGTTGAACTTGGTCTATGTACAAACAACAGCTCTACGATTGATAGGGATATACACTTGCACCAAGATGACAAATTTGTACAGAACATTTGTACAGAATATTTGTACAGAACATTTTTCCATTTGGACAAACGCTAAAAACCTGGTTATCCGTGTCAAATTTCGAGTAGCATACACATAAAAACAACATATCACTGCACCATTACAATCAGTGCTTTGTTCTAGGAAAGTGCACGGACAAACTTTCAAGTTTGGACATAAAGATTATGAAGTGATGGTACATAAATTCAGAACAGCCTGATACTCAATACAATTGCAAATATTAAAATTTTATTAAATTTTTTTTTAATTATTCGATTCTTTAAAAATATATTAATTCGACATGCAATTTAGTATATCCTTGATATCACATCAATGATTTCCAGCAGAAACAAGTCATTTTGTTGCTCATATAAAAAATATTTCAACAAAATATTTTTTGACAATGAAAGTTAATTATCTGTCTCGTTACACAACTGGATGACACATACATCAGTAGTCATGACAACAGTTTGGCTTAAATAATGTTCACAGGCTCATTTTGTTCTCTTATAAATAAATTAAAACTTAAAATTGTTCTTGTGAGTGATGATACGATAGTCTATACTGCAGTGTTATCTACACGTGAGGGCCATCTGACGTGATGGCGATCTAGTCCTCAACTCTCACATCCGTCTCCCACTCACGACGACCGCACACCTGCAGTCGAAGGTATGTTGGTCTGAGGGTTGTAGAAGAGTTGTCCGCTCCTGATTCTCCGAGATAGTTCGGCCGCCAGGAGGCGCTTCTCCTTCACGACCTTCTTGAGGACACCTCTGTTCTCCATGCCGCGGCGGGACAGATAAGGGAGAACCTCCTCCACTGGGCCGAACGGAACGTACTTGTACACGGAGTAACCCGCCTGACCTGCAGAACATGGAGTGAGTGAGGGAGTTATCACATGGTCAGTATTTCAGTTATAGCATGGTCTGTAATGTGGTATGTAGAAAAGTCAAACACAAAATAATTTGAGAGTGATGTCCCCTGTTAAGCTCTCAATGCCGCACAACATCTACATACATTATTTCTGAAAGTGGGCACACAGCTGCTGAAACCTGACAACACAAAATTCCTTGAGCGGCGCAGGACAGACACTACTCACGTGTAAAAATGCTGTTTTTGAGCACAGTTGACACCATAAATTACGTCATTAATAAAGGGAGATAACAAGCCAGGGTACTTTTTTTATTTAGTTCAAATTCTTGCAAAATACGATTGAGTGATTTGGGTTTCACACTCTTTTAAGCAATATTTAAGCAATATCACAGCAGGGGACACCAGAAATGGGCTTTATGCATTGTACCCATATGGGAATCAAATCCAGTCTTAGCATGAGGAGCAAAACTTAAACCACTTGGCTAACAAAAGTCTCCTTTAATAAATGAAATCTATAAGGCCATAATAAATTAATTGTTAGGTTATCGCCCCATCCAACTAGAGACTAAACCCCTGACATATGAAATTATATTTGCCCGGGTGAAATTTTAAAGCACTGTAACAACATCGGCTGTCAAACGGCTATTTCATGTTTACAACATGTCGTAAACTGATCTACAACTGACTCTCGGTGCTGCCTGCCTATCGTCTGCTTGCTGTCAACTGTCAAGATGGTGCTCGCCAATTTGAAAATATGAGAGGGTGTGCAAACCATTAAAGACTGGTATGCCTGTCCTTTGTCAGAGTCTATGACTCCTACGGAAATCTTCAACAAGTTTGCATGTGAGGAACTTGACAAGTTAACGTCAATTGAGGATAAATTCATAAACGCACGTGTACAAGTTGGGACAGGGAAAACGAAAATAGGGTTTGACACAGATACATCCGACTGCTTCCGTTGAAATCAATTTTTATTTATTGTCTTTGTTTTTTCAGTCATCTATTGTTCATACCAAGGTGTCTAGTCCATAACTTGACGACTTTGATAGAAAATAAAAAAATAAAAGATAAAAAGCCTCCCTCCCCACTTTTGAAAAATAAGCAGATGATAATATAGCAATTAATTTATTACTGCCTAAAGTCACTTAAGTTATAACTGTACTTACATATTTTACACATTATGTCAAAGAGGTTAATCTGTTTCATCGTCAAACAATGAAAGTAGATAAGCTTCAGGATTGTGTGAACTTCCATTTCTGTGAAGGAAGAAAGCCCAAGTGTCACAGGTTTTGTGCTGTTACCACTTTCAGGAGGGGCGGTCAGGTAGCCCAGTGGTTAAAGCGTTCGCTCATCATGCCGAAGACCCGGGTTCGATTGCCGACATGGGTACAATGTGTAAAGCCCATTTCTGGTGTCCCCTGCCGTGATATTGCTGGAATATTGCTAAAAGCGGCGTAAAACCATACTCACTCACTCTCAGGAAACCTGTGTGCACGAACATGATGCTGACTAACTGCTGTGATCATATGACATCCTTGAATTGGTTGGCTGTAGTTGGCCCACTTACCTAGAGGGAAGCTGATTTGATCACACATGCCGAGAAGTTGTCCGAAACAGATGAGTCGATCCTCCGGCCTCACACCCCACTCTTTCATCCTGGCAACACATGCAACTCATTACTGTCTGTGATGTCACTAAGGGCAATGTCTGGATAAACCAATCAGATGGACGGATGTATAAATACTGCCTAATGAGGCGTTTTTAATGGGTTTGCCGATACACTGATGCCAATTTCCACAAATGTTGAACAGCATTGTTTTATATTTCTTCCCACCAACTTGCAATTCTATAATTTAAAAAAAGTGAATAAATTTTTAACTCCAAGCATTAAATTTCTTCACCTGGCATAAAAGGCCTACCTGTGTCTCAAGTTGGCCCTTTATCCACACTGCTAATACCGAGTGACATTTCATTCATTGAACATTGTTGATCTCACCCTCACAATTAAAGAGACTGTTTCACAAGTTCGAGTGAGCCCAACTCACTTCTCGACAGCGAACTTGACTGTTCCTTCGTTGTGACTTGCCACCATCACAGCGATCTTGCCGCGATCGCGGGACTGGATCTGACGGAACACCTCCTCCAGGACGCAGTGGTACATTGCCGTCGTCGCCTCGTAGTCATCGTTGATGGGGTCCTCATAGTTCAGGGTAGCAGCTCTCTCTCGTTCCTATCACAAAATGTCCATAGTAGGACTTCACAATGCATATACCAAGAGCTTCATGTTCCCTTTACCAATATTCATGCAATGGACTTTACACGTTTTAATTTGGGGAAATTAAAGTTGAGGGCGTCTATCAAGGACACATGACAATTTTAGCAATATTCCATCATTCCCCAATAACACTGATAGGTCAGTTACACTGATATTACAGCTAGTGCATGCCAGACTTACCTGTTCCAAGTAAGCACCTCGGACCAGCTTTGCACCAAAGTAAAAGTTTTCTCTTCGTGAAAGGTCAAGGTCAATGAAAATATTGCTGAATGCCGACTGGAAAGAAACAGAATCCTATCAATACTCAAATAATGTCTACTGTATTCAAGTTTCATTATAACATGATACAAACAATTTTATGACTGTAATCATTACCACAGTGGCCATATGAGTATAAGGTGGAAATAAAGCTGATGGAACGTGAGTTAGTGAGTGAGTTAGGTTTAACGACGCTTTTATCGCGGCGTGTCAGCTTAATGTGGGAGGAAAGTCCGAAGTAATGCAGGTCTCAGACGTTTGCCACTTCGGTGAAACCCACGAGCATGGGGATGGTGCTGACAAACTTAGAAACATTCGGGCGAACCGGGATTCGAAACAACAATCATCGGTTTCTGGCGTGCCCAAGGGACGCAACTCTGCATAGCGAATCGCAGCTCCTTAGACGACTGGGCATCCCAAGCCCCCAAACTCACTCATGACTATAAGAGTTCACTTGAGTATGTTTTAATATAACAACCAATCAGAGATATTGGTTTACTGAGTAATGGATACTTTAACACTAAGTGAATTGAAAGCATGGCTCTCATTGGTCAGCATGGTCTTAGTGTAGAATGCTTCACATCACCAGTGCATTAACAACTTGCTCTCTGTGATATTTGATGCAGGTAAATAATTTGATAAAAATAATCAGAATTTTGGGGAGGACAAGCCTATAAATAGTTAATTTTAATTTCAAAATCATAACTATCACACCATAATCATACTGGTTGGCATGTGTGTGATACTGTCACTATGAACATTATCATAATGAGATCGGGAAGGTATATTTTAATTATTACATGTCATGACCCAAGTATTTTCAATTAACTTTTTTCAGTAATAAAAAAAGTTTAAAGAACTCTTGGTAAGGGTACATTAATAGTAGCGATGAAGCAATTTTCAAGAAACATCTTTTTTTTTTCATTGTATGAGTCACCCTAACACCAATATACCTAAAAAAAACACAGTAAGAAAAACATTTTATGTCAAAAAGGAGATACATTGAGAAAACAATCCTATAAATGAAGTAAAAGGATGTTCAACAAAACCTCGAATTCAGATTCACTGTATCTACATAAAGTGGACGGTTGCAAGGAAGGCTCCAGTGAGTTTATGTCCACATATGGGAGTTCCATCAGTCAATGTGTCAAAATCACTTGGTGGACTGGAGGGAGGCATTCTCAGTTGGGTACGCCAAAGTCAGGACACCAGATGTGACAGATGGAACAAATCTCCTTGCTGTCCATATTACCTGAGAAGCCTGCCTTTCATGTTGCTTACCTTAAGATAGCACTGGTATGTGTTGAAGTCTGACTCTACTGTTGCTTACCTTTAGGTAGCACTGGTATGTGTTGAAGCCTGACTCTAGTGTTGCTTACATTCAGATAACACTGGTATGTGTTGAAGCCTGACTCTAGTGTTGCTTACCTTCAGATAGCACTGGTATGTGTTGAAGCCTGACTCTAGTGTTGCTTACCTTTAGGTAGCACTGGTATGTGTTGAAGCCTGACTCTAGTGTTGCTTACCTTCAGATAGCACTGGTATGTGTTGAAGATGACGGCCCTCTCTCTGTTGAACTTGCGCATCATCTCCATTGTCAGACGACTGATGGCTGGCTGGAAGTACGTCTGCTCTGCGTCAATCATCACTCGAACCTCCTTCTCTGTTGCATACTGTAACATAGTTGAGAGATGCATATCACACAGTTCAGAGACGTCTGGCATACATAGGACAATACATACAAACCAACTGTTTAGTTGGTTTCATGGCCGTTTATTTGGTTACATACTAATTTGAACAATCGCCCACCCCACCTAAAATAAACAAAAAAACACTACCTGACCACAAAATATTTTCAAAAGCCATTGCCCAAGTCCAATTCTTTTATTTTTTTAAGCCTAACATTTAGCAAAATCAGAGGGAACTGACATCAATTGATCATCAATGGCAATGCAATAACACGAAAAACTGTGTGTGTGTGTTGAACCCGTTCATGTTGTGATGTGAATGTAACACGAGTGTCTGGCCCACCTGCACAAGGGTGTTGAACCCGTTCGTGTTGTGATGTGAATGTAACACGAGTGTCTGGCCCACCTGCACAAGGGTGTTGAACCCGTTCGTGTTGTGATGTGAATGTAACACGAGTGTCTGGCCCACCTGCACAAGGGTGTTGAACCCGTTAGTGTTGTGATGTGAATGTAACACGAGTGTCTGGCCCACCTGCACAAGGGTGTTGAACCCGTTCGTGTTGTGATGTGAATGTAACACGAGTGTCTGGCCCACCTGCACAAGGGTGTTGAACCCGTTCGTGTTGTGATGTGAATGTAACACGAGTGTCTGGCCCACCTGCACAAGGGTGTTGAACCCGTTCATGTTGTGATGTGAATGTAACAGGAGTGTCTGGCCCACCTGCACAAGGGTGTTGAACCCGTTCGTGTTGTGATATGAATGTAACACGAGTGTCTGGCCCATCTGCACAAGGGTGTTGAACCTGTTCGTGTTGTGATGTGAATGTAACACGAGTGTCTGGCCCACCTGCACAAGGGTGTTGAACCCCGTTGTGTTGTGATGTGAATGTAACACGAGTGTCTGGCCCACCTGGACAAGGGTGTTGATCCTGTTCGTGTTGTGATATGAATGTAACACGAGTGTCTGGCCCACCTGGACAAGGGTTTTGGACCCGTTCATGTTGTGATGTGAATGTAACAGGAGTGTCTGGCCCACCTGCACAAGGGTGTTGAACCTGTTCGTGTTGTGATATGAATGTAACACGAGTGTCTGGCCCACCTGCACAAGGGTGTTGGACCCGTTCATGTTGTGATGTGAATGTAACACGAGTGTCTGGCCCACCTGCACAAGGGTGTTGAACCTGTTCATGTTGTGATGTGAATGTAACAGGAGTGTCTGGCCCACCTGCACAAGGGTGTTGAACCCATTAGTGTTGTGATGTGAATTTAACAGGAGTGTCTGGCCCACCTGCACAAGGGTGTTGAACCTGTTCATGTTGTGATGTGAATGTAACACGAGTGTCTGGCCCACCTGCACAAGGGTGTTGAACCCGTTCGTGTTGTGATGTGAATGTAACACGAGTGTCTGGCCCACCTGCACAAGGGTGTTGAACCCGTTCGTGTTGTGATGTGAATGTAACACGAGTGTCTGGCCCACCTGCACAAGGGTGTTGAACCCGTTCGTGTTGTGATGTGAATGTAACACGAGTGTCTGGCCCACCTGCACAAGGGTGTTGAACCCGTTAGTGTTGTGATGTGAATGTAACACGAGTGTCTGGCCCACCTGCACAAGGGTGTTGAACCCGTTCGTGTTGTGATGTGAATGTAACACGAGTGTCTGGCCCACCTGCACAAGGGTGTTGAACCCGTTCGTGTTGTGATGTGAATGTAACACGAGTGTCTGGCCCACCTGCACAAGGGTGTTGAACCCGTTCATGTTGTGATGTGAATGTAACAGGAGTGTCTGGCCCACCTGCACAAGGGTGTTGAACCCGTTCGTGTTGTGATATGAATGTAACACGAGTGTCTGGCCCATCTGCACAAGGGTGTTGAACCTGTTCGTGTTGTGATGTGAATGTAACACGAGTGTCTGGCCCACCTGCACAAGGGTGTTGAACCCCGTTGTGTTGTGATGTGAATGTAACACGAGTGTCTGGCCCACCTGGACAAGGGTGTTGATCCTGTTCGTGTTGTGATATGAATGTAACACGAGTGTCTGGCCCACCTGGACAAGGGTGTTGGACCCGTTCATGTTGTGATGTGAATGTAACAGGAGTGTCTGGCCCACCTGCACAAGGGTGTTGAACCTGTTCGTGTTGTGATATGAATGTAACACGAGTGTCTGGCCCACCTGCACAAGGGTGTTGGACCCGTTCATGTTGTGATGTGAATGTAACACGAGTGTCTGGCCCACCTGCACAAGGGTGTTGAACCTGTTCATGTTGTGATGTGAATGTAACAGGAGTGTCTGGCCCACCTGCACAAGGGTGTTGAACCCATTAGTGTTGTGATGTGAATTTAACAGGAGTGTCTGGCCCACCTGCACAAGGGTGTTGAACCTGTTCATGTTGTGATGTGAATGTAACACGAGTGTCTGGCCCACCTGCACAAGGGTGTTGAACCCGTTCGTGTTGTGATCTGAATGTAACACAAGTGTCTGGCCCACCTGCACAAGGGTGTTGAACCCGTTCGTGTTGTGATGTGAATGTAACACGAGTGTCTGGCCCACCTGCACAAGGGTGTTGAACCCGTTCATGTTGTGATGTGAATGTAACACGAGTGTCTGGCCGACCTGCACAAGGGTGTTGAACCCGTTCGTGTTGTGATGTGAATGTAACACGAGTGTCTGGCCCACCTGCACAAGGGTGTTGAACCTGTTCGTGTTGTGATGTGAATGTAACACGAGTGTCTGGCCCCCCTGGACAAGGGTGTTGAACCCCGTTGTGTTGTGATGTGAATGTAACACGAGTGTCTGGCCCACCTGGACAAGGGTGTTGAACCCGTTCGTGTTGTGATGTGAATGTAACACGAGTGTCTGGCCCACCTGCACAAGGGTGTTCGTGTTGTGATGTGAATGTAACACAAGTGTCTGGCCCACCTGTACAAGGGTGTTCGTGTTGTGATGTGAATGTAACACGAGTGTCTGGCCCACCTGCACAAGGGTGTTGAACCCGTTCGTGTTGTGATGTGAATGTAACACAAGTGTCTGGCCCACCTGCACAAGGGTGTTGAACCTGTTCGTGTTGTGATGTGAATGTAACACGAGTGTCTGGCCCACCTGCACAAGGGTGTTGAACCCCATTCGTGTTGTGATGTGAATGTAACACGAGTGTCTGGCCCACCTGCACAAGGGTGTTGAACCCGTTCGTGTTGTGATGTGAATGTAACACAAGTGTCTGGCCCACCTGCACAAGGGTGTTGAACCCCATTCGTGTTGTGATGTGAATGTAACACGAGTGTCTGGCCCATCTGCACAAGGGTGTTGAACCTGTTCTTGTTGTGATGTGAATGTAACACGAGTGTCTGGCCCACCTGGACAAGGGTGTTGAACCCATTAGTGTTGTGATGTGAATGTAACACGAGTGTCTGGCCCACCTGCACAAGGGTGTTGAACCCCTTTCGTGTTGTGATGTGAATGTAACACAAGTGTCAGGCCCACCTGCACAAGGGTGTTGAACCTGTTCGTGTTGTGATGTGAATGTAACACGAGTGTCTGGCCCACCTGCACAAGGGTGTTGAACCTGTTCGTGTTGTGATGTGAATGTAACACGAGTGTCTGGCCCACCTGCACAAGGGTGTTGAACCTGTTCGTGTTGTGATGTGAATGTAACACGAGTGTCTGGCCCACCTGCACAAGGGTGTTGAACCCGTTCGTGTTGTGATGTGAATGTAACACGAGTGTCTGGCCCACCTGTACAAGGGTGTTGATCCTGCGCAGCATGTTCTTCATCTGGTTCTCTTCCTCTGCACTCAGCGCCATCACCAGGGACTTGGACTCTCCCGTCTAGAACACACAACCCTTTTTGATAGTGGGCTTTCCCATATAGTACACACAACAACCCTGTTTAATAGTGGACTCTCCATGTCTAAAAATACGAATCTGTTCAATGGAGAACTCCCATCTAGGTGACACAACCCTTTTTTATACTGAACTCTTTCATCTAGAACACAACAACCCTGTCTAATAGTGGACTCTCCCATCTAGAACACAACAACCCTGTCTTATAGTAGACTCCAATCTGGAACAAAACAACAACCCTGTTTAATAGTGGACTCTCCCATCTAGAACACAACAACCCTTTTTAATAGTAGCCTCTCCCATCTGAAACAAAACAACAACCCTGTTTAATTGCGGACTCTCCCATCTAGAGGTGAGGTGAAATTGGGTTTAACGTCGACTCTCCTATCCAGAACACACAACCCTTTTTAATAGTAGACTCTCCCATCTGGAACAAAACAACAGCCCTGTTAAATAGTGGACTCTCCCATCTAGAACACACAACCCTTTTTAATAGTAGACTCTCCCATCTGGAACAAAACAACAGCCCTGTTAAATAGTGGACTCTCCCATCTAGAACACACAACCCTTTTTAATAGTGGACTCTCCCATCTTGAACAAAACAACATCCCTGTTTAATAGTGGACTCTCCCATCTGGAAGTCACCTTCCCGAGTCAAGAGAGTTAACTGACTATATGAAAGTCCAGTTTCCACCCTTGCTGAACTAGGCTGGTATTATAGAGTTACGTTTTGGCTAAAGAGTCTATGCATAGTACAATCAAAATTCGGTACAATCCGGTTCATAAACTGTTGTGTGGATTTCGGTCGATTGCAGGATTTGTGAAGCATGTGCACCACCAGCTCATTGTCAGCAGGTATTTTCCAAATCTTTTCATGTTTTAATCAAAATGTTCATGTGATTTGATGCATTTCACCATGTAAGACCCGTTTTATCACAATATAGATCTTGATTATCGATCAGATCGTCCTGACTGGGCGCTGCCATTTGGTTTGAAGCAAATGCAAGTGGTACAAGAGGTGGAATCTGATTGGTCCATAGAAGAGGCTTAGAATGGACATAACTGGTAACAGCCACTGGTGGCTCTACGATCGAGGCCAGTAATTCCAGTCTAGTTCAGCAAGGGTGGAAACTGGACTTTTAAAGTCAGTTAACTCTCTTGCCTCGGGAAGATGTCTGGAAGTAGGCTGGAATTACAGAGTTATATTTCGGCTGGACTACTGAGTCTATGCATAGTCCAGTCAGAATAGCATAACGAAACTGACATCCGGTCGTAAATTGCCGTGCAGATTACGGTCGATTGAAGGATTTGAAAAGTATGTGTACTTTTGTTTCCAAATGGTTTTATGTTTTAATCCAGGAGCTCATGTGATTTGATGCACTGCACAAAGTAAGACCCGTTATATTACAATATAGATCGTGATTATCGAACAGATCGTCTTCACTGGGCGTCACCATTTTATTTGAAGCAAAAGGCAAGTGATATGAAAGGTGGAATCTGATTGGCTAATAGGAGGTCCATGGGACGTTCCAGCCCAGGAATTCTAGCCTAGTCTGGCAAGGGTAGAAACGGGACTTTTATAGTCAGTTAACTCCCTTACCTCGGGAAGATGGCTAATAGTGGACTTTCCCATCTTGAACACACAACAACCTTGTTTAATAGTGGACACTCCCATCTGACACATATTCTCCCAGTTTCATTGACACTTTACTGTAAACTCAATCAACTAATTACAGAGAAGGGAGTGTGTGTTTTTTGCCATTTGCCGTTGAAGCCTTGAATGACTTACTTTGATGTTTGACACCATGAGGAGTTTGGACAGTCCCATGTTCATCTCAAGAAGATTCTCCCAGTCCAGCAGATCCACTTCACTATAAAGAGATCAGTCATTTACATCAGTTTTCCATCAATTGATCTATTGTGATGGAATTATCCACTACTTAACAGAATATGAACTAAATATATATATTTCTATAATAATTCTCTTTAAGAATTGATAACAGAAAGAAACATTGCTTTTATCCAGGGATGGAAATTAACCAAGGAAGTCCAGAAGCCCACACATGCAGCAATAACACCCAAAATGTTTGAAATTCCTTGACATTGACAAAACTGGTCCTCGCTGGTGGGCTAGAGCTAATTTCCATTACTGACATGTCATAGAGTTACTCCCTTTCCCAATCTTTCCACTTGAGGCAATAATTGTTGCAATATGGTCTGAGACTTGTTCGCAGCAACATTTATCATGCTCATTGAACCTGAAGACTCTGGGATGACAAACACAAACAAGATTCCCATATCCCACAAAGTTTCCAGCCACGCGGTATCTATGTCTCACCCATCCTTGGTGACGTCGAGCACAGAGAACCACTTCTTAGACTCGTTTTGACTGATACGGATGTTCATCTTCTGCAATGCTTCTAAGAAATTTTCCTCCTTCACACTCTTCGTGCAGATGTCCCCCTCCACCCCACAGATGCTGTCGAAGATGTTGCGGATTGACACCAACACTTCCGTCATCTGCAGCTGCAAACAGAAACACACAAGTATTCCTAGTGTTATCCTATATTCCTCATGGGATATATTATATTTAAATTCATAAATAATTGCGCAGCATAATTTAAACCTTTACTGTTTATTGCAATCACACTAAAATCTAATAAAAGTTGAATAAAACTAGATTTAACAACACAAAAAAAAACGGTCAGTGTATTTTCAAAAAATTAATTGCTGTAATGAAACAAAAAACAGAATAAGCTGTCCCCATGACTGTAGATCTGGATTTGCATAGAGATGATTTCGCATTTTAGATTCAACTTGACATCTTGTTTATAATTTGTGTGCGTTTTTTTTAGGGGCTAATCCCAAAAAATAATTAAACTGACACACTGATATATTACTACCCATCATATTGTTTACGCTGACAATACAGCGGCCACATGAAGACCTTGACCTACCAGAAGCTGTGGTCGACCTAGAGCTGTCAGCTTCACTGCTGCCAGACCAGATTTTTCCGTTGCATCTACGACATAAATTTAACATCACAGTTATCTGATATTGCCATTATTCACCTTAATCAGAATCATTTTAAAGCCAGGTCCCATTTTACAAGGTGACCTTAGCTCTACGACAGACGTAAATCTATGGACCCGTGAAAATCCAGGTTTGAATAGGTCTTCAGCAACCTTTGCTTGCCGTTAAAGGCCACTATGCTTGTCGTAAGAGGCGACTAACGGGATCAGGTAGTCAGGCTCGCTGACCTGGCTGATGCATGTTATCGTATTCTAACTGCGTGGATCAATGCTCATGACGTCAATCACTAAAGTGTCTGGTCCAGACTTGATTATTTACAGACCGCCGTCACATAGCTGGAATACTGATTGCGGCGTTTAACAACAACAAACATAAATTTATGTTTAAATGTGGTAGTCACAACAGTCATCAATCTATGTCTAAATGTGGTAGTCACAACAGTAGTAAATCTATGTCTAAATTTGGCAGTCATGACAGTCGGAATGCTAATGTAGCTTCGTAAAATGGGGCCCAGAGAAATTAGTTAACCTAACAGTTGGACTAACATCTATCTTACATAGCACTCAAACAGGTAAGTTAAAGGTGAGTGTTTACCTGACACAGCATCTATACAGTTACAGGTGTGTTACAGGCGAGTGTTTACCTGACACAGCATCTATACAGTTACAGGTAAGTTACATCTATACAGTGACAGGTAGAATACAGGTGAGTGTTTACCTGACACAGCATCTATACAGTTACAGGTAGGTTAAAGGTGAGTGTTTACCTGAGTGTTTACCTGAGACAGCATCTATACAGTTACAGGTAAGTTACAGGTGAGTGTTTACCTGAGTGTTTACCTGAGACAGCATCTATACAGTTACAGGTGAGTGTTTACCTGACACATCATCTATACAGTTACAGGTATGTTACAGGTATGTTACAGGTGAGTGTTTACCTGACACAGCATCTATACAGTGACAGGTAGGTTACAGGTGAGTGTTTACCTGACACAGCATCTATACAGTGACAGGTAGGTTACAGGTGAGTGTTTACCTGACACAGCATCTATACAGTTACAGGTATGTTACAGGTGTGTTACAGGTGAGTGTTTACCTGACACAGCATCTATACAGTGACAGGTAGGTTACAGGTGAGTGTTTACCTGACACAGCATCTATACAGTGACAGGTAGGTTACAGGTGAGTGTTTACCTGACACAGCATCTATACAGTGACAGGTATGTTACAGGTGTGTTACAGGTGAGTGTTTACCTGACACAGCATCTATACAGTGACAGGTATGTTACAGGTGTGTTACAGGTGAGTGTTTACCTGACACAGCATCTATACAGTGACAGGTATGTTACAGGTGTGTTACAGGTGAGTGTTTACCTGACACAGCATCTATACAGTTACAGGTATGTTACAGGTGTGTTACAGGTGAGTGTTTACCTGACACAGCATCTATACATTTCATGAAGGTCTCCAGGTTCTCATCACAGTGGGCCTCGTCCTCATAGAAGTACGTCCTGGCACTGATCACCTTCTCGCGCCGGTCACCGAACTCCTTGTGTGCTCGATACCGGATGTCCCGCTCAGCTGACAACACACAAAGTCACACATGGTAACTTAAAATACTGGAAGCGTTTCACCAATTCTGTGTTTACATAATCCTTAACTTTTCAGCGAGTGTTATGTATGCATGAACTGAATCTTAAGCATGAAATTACACAACCCTCCAGGGCAGTTTTATCAACATAATAACAAGAAAATATATCTCATGCTATGCTGGTATCATTCATGGCTTGATATGACCACCAAAAGGCCTAGTTATAATGATGGCGTAAGATTCTTGAACGACCACCTCATTCACAGCAGCCTTGTGTTGTTTATTTACAATTATTAATGTTCATCAAACATAGATGCCTTCCATTACATTCCTACCGAACTTGCTCCAACATCAAAGGTATTAGAAAGTAATGCGCGTGCGCGTGCGTGTGTGTTAAACCACAGATATAAGAAATGGTAAACAACCCAAATACCTAGACACGTTAAACCTAATCAAAGTGTCCATTGAATGCAGTTTGTTACTATCATTCATTAAAAAATCGGATAATTGAGTACCTGTTGCTAAAAATAACTGAGTTCCTAAAAATAAAAAAGGCTACCTCAGACCATATCCCGGACCCCCCTGACAATCAAATGGTTGCTCCCTTCAAGAATGGGTTACAGTATGTAAAACAAGTGTTTAGATTGGTCTGAAGTGTAAGGTCTATCGCTGGTAATGGTATACCAACCAAGGACGATGTGACCCATGACAAGGGAGATTCATGACGAGTCACACAGCAGGATCAGTCTGACAAAGGAAACAAAGTCGTGAGTCCTGCTGATCCTGCTGTCACATGTTTCCTTGTTTCCTGGACCAGAGAACACTTGCATATTTGTGTTCTACACTGTTGTCAGTGTATGTTAATCCATGGGAGTGACAATTGTTTAATGCTGAACTCAGCAATATTCCAGCTATATGACAGCAATCTGCAAATAATCAAGTCTGGACCAGAGAACTCTTGCATATTTGTGTTCTACACTGTTGTTATTTGTTTATTTGTTTGTTTGTTGTTTAACACCGCACTCAGCAATATTCCAGCTATATGACGGCGGTCTGTAAAATAATCGAACCTGGACCAGACAATCCAGTGATTGACATCATGAGCATCGATCCACGCAATTGGGATACGATGACATGCATCAACCAAGTCAGCAAGCCTGACCGCCCGATCCCGTTAGTCGCCTTTTACAACAAGCATAGTCGCCTTTTACGGCAAGTATGGCTTGCTGAAGACCTATTCTACCCCAGAATCTTCACGGGTATGTTAATCCATGGGAGTGACAATTGTTTAACGCTGAACTCAGCAATATTTCAGCTATATGCAGCGGGCTGTAAATAATCGAGTCTGCACAAGACAAGCCAGTGATTGATATCAATAGCATCGATCTACGCAATTCGGATGAGATGACATGTATCAACCAAGTCAGCAAGCCTGACCACCTGATCCCGTCAGTCGCCTCCTAAGACAAGCATGAGTTACTGAATACCAATTCTGACCCTGATGTTCCATAATAATATTAATAACTTGGTTTTATCAAAGGAAAAATTATATCCAATACTCATAAAAACAGAGAATGTAAACATATAGTACCATATTCAACGCAATAAGCGCCCAGGGCACTCTCAAATTAGAAATAGGGGGGCTCTTATTTTGAATAAAATTTTGGTGAAAAGTTGAAAGATCCTAAATTTTGTGGTTTATGCTGACAGCCTGAAATGATACAAAAGAAAAGTCAGTGCGTATTATACACGACAGATATATTTTCCAGAATGTAATTGCCCATAATTAAGGGTGCATATAACATACGAGTGTGTATTATACACAAATAAATAAGTCTTGTGTACATTAATCATTTGACAGGGGTGCTAATTGGGATTGTTCACTCACCAATATATTAGCAAATATCGCCGTGGGTGCTTATTAGAGTGGGGTGCTTATTACATCGAATACAGTATGCACTACTGAATCAATGCAATACAACGGCGCATTTGAATCACAGACACTGATTCAATTGTAGCATGCAGGTGAGACTAAATTGTTATATTCTGTTAAGTGATAGAATGACAGTTCGGAGAATCCCGCTCAGACTGTCTCATCTAAGTTATGCTTCCAACAAGGAAATTGCCATCTATCATAAGCATAAAGCTTCACAAATACTTTATATCTTATTTGCTCCTGATAGCGGTCACAAAATAGATAGATGATACCATGACAGCACTACCAGTTTTAGAAACTGTTTTAGTAGACTATTTCTCTAATGATAACATACAGCAAAATGCTTAATAATTGCAAATTTCTACTAGTCCCTATAATACCTCAACTATTGGGCAGTTTGGCAAGGACTAAAGGACTAGTGCCAATTTCTACCTCTGACTACGGCTCACTTTATGTAATGGGCAACGTCCCATACTCTAACATTGACTTACATTTGATGCCATGCTAATTCACTATATGTAATGGGTCATGTCTCTTCTACTAGTCCCTATAATACCTTAACTATTGGGCAGTTTGGCAAGGAGTAAAGGACTAGTGCCAATTTCTACCACTGACTACGGCTCACTTTATGTAATGGGCCATGTCTCGCAGCTCCGTGGACTAAAGTACATCCCATACTTAGATTTATGATAATTGCAGTGCCAAGATAACTTTTCTTACAAAATTCCACAGCTAAATTATATCAGACTAGAACTGTGAAAATATATGTATCATATTAAAAAAAACATAGACTCTATTCCAATAAAGTCAGTCTGTATCATTTCACCTTTATATTTCAATCTTTAAATGACATCCTACAGAAATACATACCAAATAAATATATAATTTGACCTCCCATCTATCACTTTATGACCCGTGATTACACACGGTAATCTTTATCCCTATCTATAAAACAATGCCTAGCATGACAAGAAATACAATCGAAATGGTAAATCATCCCCAGTAGTGATTTTCATTGACAAAGTTTGTCATAGCGTTGTTCATTCACCTGAAGCGATGCAATGTAGTTTTTGTACCAACAGAAAAAGAGTTTGATGAAAGTGTAACATAAGCCGACCACTTTCTACAGAATCTTTTTTCTGGTCCTCAAAATTTGGCTTTTCATGGTCATATACAGTATGGCATATTACAAATATGCCTTCAAGAGCAGAAATGTACTGAAATGGAACTTGTAAATCTATATCTAAATTGACCTGTACTGTATTATATGCAGTTCATGTGTTAGGGCTATGGCTTTCATACAAAGGTCTGTGCATGACTTTCATGATTAATAAAATGTAACATATACTTTATCAGCTTCTTATCAGCACATTGTAAATTTATACATAGTATGCTAATATTATTTATTTATGACAATGAATATTCCAATGGCATACAATGAATACAAAAATATAATTTTTATGTAAAAAAGTGAAACTACTTACCGACATATATAACATATATAACAATACATTTTTTAAAAAGTGGTGAGATGTGCAGCAAGCTAAGTATTAGAAAGTGTGACTACCAGCTGTGTGTGCACACTGTCATCAGTTTCACGTCTAGGAAAATAAAAATTAGTGTCAAATCTATAATAAACCTCCTGCATTAAGTATAAACTACTTAAGCCTTTTAGGGCCATTTGGTATTTTTATTTTTTAATAACTTGAAATTTCAAGTTAGTATCTTGAAATTTCAAGATAGTATCGAAAAAAAACAAAAAAAACAAATGGCCCTTTAAGGCTTCTGTAATTAACTGCTAAAATTGACTAAATAAAAGAGGGAAATAGTGCCAAAATGTGAAAAAGATGAAACAATCCTGTACAATCTTACTTCTGTATTTCTCCTGAATCAACAAAATGGCAGAATAGCTACATAATATTTGAAAAGCTCAAGGCCTTTATTAGTCATATATCCCGCTGTTATTGTTTGTTGTTATTGTTTGTTGTTATTGTTTGTTGTTATTGTTTGTTGTTGTTGTTTGTTGTTATTGTTTGTTGTTATTGTTTGTTGTTGTTGTTTGTTGTTGTTTGTTGTTATTGTTTGTTGTTGTTGTTTGTTGTTATTGTTTGTTGTTATTGTTTGTTGTTATTGTTTGTTGTTATTGTTTGTTGTTGTTGTTTGTTGTTATTGTTTGTTGTTGTTTGTTGTTGTTTGTTGTTGTTGTTTGTTGTTATTGTTTGTTGTTGTTGTTTGTTGTTATTGTTTGTTGTTATTGTTTGTTGTTGTTTGTTGTTATTGTTTGTTGTTATTGTTTGTTGTTATTGTTTGTTGTTGTTGTTTGTTGTTGTTGTGGGTGGTGGGGTAGCCCAGTGGATAAAGAGTTTGCTCATTGCACTGAAGACCCGGGTTCGATTCCCCACCTGGGTACAATGTGTGAAGCCCATTTCTGGTATCCCCGCCGTGATATTGCTTGAATAGTGCTAAAAGCGGTGTAAATGTTAACCTATACTCGATCACTTACTGCTGTAGTTGTGAGGATTATTCCAGCATATCAAACAGCAATAAATCTGGGTGAGGCAGATGTTTGTAGCTTGAACAATCATGCATGTTAACAATGACACAGTGCGATCACTGGAGCATCCAGAGGTGGGATGGTTGGTTGGTTTGTTGGTTTGTTGTTTAACACCACACTCAGCAATATTCAGCTATATGACGGCGGTCTGTGAATAATAGAGTCTGGACCAGACAATCCAGTGATTGATATCATAAGCATCGATCCACGCAGTTGGGATCGATGACATGCATCAACCAAGTCAGCGAGCCTGACCACCCGATCCGGTTAGTCGCCTTTTACGACAAGCATAGTCGCCTTTTACGGCAAGTATGGGTTGCTGAAGACCTATTCTACCCCGGAATCTTCACGGGTCAGAGGTGGGATGGTGCACGGTGTACTCATTACACTGTATGTCAACCCGAACCATGTTTCAGTTGCTCACTGGGACCGCCTCCGTGGTCTAGTGGTAGAGCGTCCGCCCGGAGAGTGGAATGTCTGGGGTTCGAACCCCGGCCGTGTCATACCAAAAAACGTTAAAAGATGGTACTTGTTGTTACCCTGCCTGGCGCTCGGCATTAAGGGGCTAAAACAAGGACTGGTCGGCTCGGAGTCAGTTTACTGTGTCTGAATGGGGTATTCATTTTAAACTGCAGCATGGTATCTCAGTGTGCTAGCACTACAAATCGGCATCAGTCCGGACTAGTACAAGCAGCCACACAAACACACACATGTACATGCATGTCGCTGTATAAGTGCAATAATCTTGGACGTGACGTTAAACCCCATTTCGTAAATTCTGCACCCACCACTGTGTTGTGAGAGAGCATGGTTTTACACCACTCTCATCAAAACTCCAGCAATATTCTGTGTTGTTTGTTTGTTGTTTATAGCCGCACACAGCAATATTCCAGGAAAATGACGGCGGTCTGTAAATAATCAAGTCTGGACCATGCAATCCAGTGATTGACATCATGAGTTTTGATTCACGGATTGGGATACGATGTCATGCATCAACCAAGTCAGCGAGCCTGACCACCCGATCCCATTAGTCGCCTCTTACGACAAGCATAGTCGCCTTTTACAGCAAGCATGAGTTGCTGAAGACCTATTCTATCCCGGATCTTCACAGGTCGCAGCAATATTCACACACTGTATCCAATCAAATCCAGGCCTTTGCAATGACAAGCTAACACTTTAACCACATGGCTATCCCACCGACCCTCCACCATAGTGCAACCATTAGCTGACAGTATGACAAGCATCACAGATTCTATTTAATTTTCCATTTATCAAATGAATTTAACAATAAACAAATGATTAAAAAATAACATTGGTAACCCATTTTAATATGTATTGATCATGGTAAGGCTGCCTGGGCCAGTTTAACCTTTAGCCTGCTGAATTGTTTTTACAAGTGACCCAGTCGTCTAAGGCGCTGTGATTCGCTGTGCAGAGTTGCGTCCCTTGGCTCGCCAGAAACCTATGATCGTGGGTTTGAATTCCGGTTTGACCCGATTATGATTCTAGGTTTGTCAGCACCATACCCGTGCTCGTGGGTTTCAGCGAAGTGGTAAACGTCTGAGACCTGCATCACTTTGGGCTTTCCTCCAACATTAAGCTGACACACCACAATATAACTGTAATACTGTTAAAAGCGGTGTAAACTCAACTCACTCACTCACTCTTACCCCTGCCTGCTTGATTAATTTTAGCATAAGGCGCTCTAAAGAGGGTGGGTGAATTCAAACAGTCGTGGTTTCATTAAACATGGGACGAATGAATCAATATTTCGCACATTTATTACTGATAAAAAAATACACATTGCTATGGAAATCAGATCTTAGTTCTCACTACCGCTAAACAAAGATTTGAGGACATCCCATTACGGGTCACATCAGACCGACCTTGCGCGAACTTTGACCGACCAATGGATTGACCAATCAGAAGGGAGCTTTCTCGTGCTTTACGGCACTAATTTCAAATTGGCGACCACGCTTCGAAACATATTTTGATAAATTATCGATTACCAATTTGAAACCTGAACAAAAGAACATTCTGGAATGTCTAACAGATTGTATGGATTCAGTCGTTAAAACCGTAACTATTGTTCGGAATACCCCGTGTTAAAGTTTTGCATGATTAGAAATCACATTCCGACTGTCACTTTCATAATCTGGTAAGCACTGCTTTGATTAGTCGGATGAAAGGTCGTTCTGACGTGACCCCTAATGGGATGTCTTCAGATCTTTGTTTAGCGGTAGTAAGAGCTAAGGTCTGATTTTAATGAGATTGATTGCTATGTAAAGATATCCTGATATTTTCCACCATACAGAAGTTGAGAGCAAAGCGAACATAATTTTTTTTTAATTTCTTGAACATATCCAATTACGGGATTGAATATGAAATGTGTTTCATATGAGGAACGTGTTTAAATCATTAAATTTGTGCTAACTGATTTCAATAATCATATCTCCAAAATCTAAAATTTAACTGAGATGATATTCGTATTTGTTTCTCCGCAAACAACAGCGTGATGGTAAATTATGAACCATTTCAGTAAATATATTATGCAAAGGTAAACTAAAAACATAATTTTCGAGGTCACGTCAATTGCTGAAATAAAAGTATTAGGCTTATTGCAACGTGTCATGCTATGAATTCTGGAGGATACAATAACCGACTCATAAATATTCACCAACCCTTTGCCAACCTCTACACTCACATTACGTTTTTCTAACAGCTGGGAAGAATATTACTTCGTAACAATCAGCGATTGGGACTCTCTGTAGCTCACACAATATAACGACATGGGTAAGTGGTAAATGTATAAGATCTGCATCCCTTGGGGCTTTCCTCCGACATTAAGGGATATGAACTGACATAACTGAAATACTATTAAAGTATTTCTGTTTAACACAACTCACAGACTCACTCTAAGTGTCAGTGTTAGCACAGACCTGATGGTTGACTTGACCGCTATAATAGTGATAAACAACAGTCTGATATTCCCCAAATCAAGTTCCACCAAAGCAATAGAAAACTCCGCTTGCCTACTTAGCCCTGGTGCCAGATTAGTTATTGACTGCCTTCTGTGCTGTCTTCAGGAGAGATACAGAATTACACATTACATGGAGGATAAAACACTTACCCCCTCCTGCAGGAAAAACAGAATAAGCAAATAGAGAATATATGTCAACATGTTCACCAAAAATAAGATTTTGGCATACAAAATTTCACATCTGAAATTCTAAACATTCATCAATCATTTAATTAAACTGCCCATCCATCCATCCATCCACCCACCCATAATCCATCCATCCATCCATCCACCCATCCACCCATCCATCCATCCATCCATCCATCCACCCATAATCCATCCATCCATCCATCCATCCACCCATAATCCATCCATCCATCCATCCATCCATCCACCCATCCATCCACCCATCCATCCATCCATCCACCCATCCATCCATCTGACCATCCATCCATCCATCCATCCGACCATCCACCCATAACCCATCCATCCATCCATCCACCCACCGATAATCCATCCATCCATCCATCCACCCACCCATAATCCATCCATCCATCCACCCACCGATAATCCATCCATCCATCCATCCACCCACTCATAATCCATCAATCCACCCACCCATAATCCATCCATCCATACATCCATCCACCCATAATCCATCCATCCATCCATCCACCCACTCATAATCCATCCATCCACCCATCCACCCATCCATCCATCCATTCACCAATAATCCATCCATCCATCCACCCCCCAATAATCCATCCATCCATCCATCCATCCATCAACCCATAATCCATCCATCCATCCATCCATAATCCATCCATCCATCCATCCATCCACCCACCCATAATCCATCCATCCATCCATCCACCCACCCATAATCAGTCCATCCACCCACCCATAATCCATCCATCCATCCATCCACCCACCCATAATCCATCCATCCATCCATCCACCCATAATCCATCCATCCACCCACCCATAATCCATCCATCCATCCACCCATAATCCATCCATCCATCCATAATCCATCCATCCATCCACCCATAATCCATCCATCCATCCATCCATCCACCCATAATCCATCCATCCATCCACCCATAACCCATCCATCCATCCATCGACCCATCCATCCATCCACCCATCCATCCATCCACCCATAATCCATCCATCCATCCACCCACCCATAATCCATCCATCCATCCATCCACCCACCCATAATCCATCCATCCACCCACCCATAATCCATCCATCCACCCACCCATAATCCATCCATCCACCCATCCATCCATCCATCCACCCATAATCCATCCATCCATCCACCCATCCATCCATCCATCCACCCACCCACCCACCCTTCCACCCATCCATCCATCCACCCATAATCCATCCATCCATCCACCCATCCATCCATCCACCCATAATCTATCCATCCATCCATCCATCTATCCACCCTTCCATCCATCCATCCGTGAGTATACGAGGTTTGCTCTCACCTGCCGCAGCTTCAGTCTCGGTTTCTGACACACAGCTCCTGCACAACAGAGAGAAGCACAGGTCAACCTCAACAGCATAACAAAGAGAAGCAAAGGTCAATCTCAACAGCACAACAGAGAGAAGCACAGGTCAACCTCAACAGCATAACAGAGAGAAGCACAGGTCAACTTCAACAGCACAACAGAGAGAAGCACAGGTCAACTTCAACAGCACAACAGAAATAACCACTCTTTTCCATGATTCTGTCGTATGATAAATCCCATGCAGATCTAAGTTAGAATAGGTCTTCAGCAACCCATGCTTGTCGTGAGAAGTGACAAACGGGATCAGGTGGGCAGTTGATGCATGTCATCATATCCCAATTGCATAGATCAATGTTCATGATGTCAATTATTGGATCGTCTGGTCCAGACTTGATAATTTACAGACAGCCATTATATAGTTGAAATATTGCTGAGAGTGGCGTTAAACAACAAACAAACAAACAAACAAACAAAAAATGGCATGATAAGGGAACACCATATTTCATCCAGATGTTTACACTGTCAATGCGTGTCAGGCCAAGTTGCTGATTACATGTTTATTTTTAGTCTTTCATCAGCATATATGATTAGTGTTCAGTCAAACATGAGAAACAAAAATGAAAAAAGATTTTTCAGCACGGAATGATCTTTCTTAACAGACTGTAATCAAAGAAACATTCACTGGAACATATCACACTGCATTTTCTGTACCAAATCCAATTATTTCCAGGCAATCAGTGTTCAGTCAAACATGAGAAACAAAAATGAAAAAAGATTTTTACAGCATGGAATGAACTTTCTTAACTCTTTCAACACCAGTCAACCAGAAGTGTTTACTGCTGGGACACCGAGTTCCCAGAGACTCTTGTGTGATAGATGAAGCCAACATTTATCAAAGAAAATACCTGCTTGTAAAATATATTTGGTACTACATGTTATACACCATTTGAAAGGTCTGATCCTATGGTTTATAAATATGAAAGTTATGTTTTTCACATTATTTAAAATAATGCATTTACAACTTAATTAAATTCGTTGTAAATAAAATAATGTACGCTAACACGTTGTTAACATCCAGATTAAGGACCAAGGAAGCGAAAACTTGACGATTTTCGGCAAATATATGATTTCAAAATATCCACGTACCTATTTCTGTTTAATTTTCATTGTTTACGTAATTGGAAAATCATTTTAAAAAGAATTATAGACAGTTTCTGTCATCACCCATTTCCCGATAACAGCGACTGTCCGCTCAGTAAAATGAAGAAATACCCCCGTTTTCGAGGTTTCGTATGAATAACACGTTCGTCGAAGAATGGCATATGACACATCGCTGGAAAGCTTATTCCTTCATCTACACGCACGTAACATCGACTGGTTTTTTTTCGTAGTTATAACAAGCGATTTCATTGGATTAAAATTGGTTTCTAATGACGCTTTCTTGCTGAAATCTGCTACAAGTTTCGTGATTGGTCAATTTTGAGCACGTGACCTAAGGCAGCCAATCAAATTACAGCTGTGATACCAAGCTCGTGGTCGACAAATTACAGAAGTTTGCGAAAGAATTTTGTTAAATCGTGTTATTCTGAACGTTTTTAGCAGGAAATCACGATATATATTAAAAATATAGAACTTCGTGAATGTATCGTGCTAGGTTACGAGCTGTGACAAAGATTTTTCATGCATATATTTTTGCATTAAACATCGTGTCCGAGCCGAGAATTCAAGGCGACGAAAGCCGAGATGTCATTTGACTCACATTACACGCGATCGCACGAAAAGATGGAAATAATAACTTAGATGTAAGTTTGATTACTTTAAGATATATTTTTGTTGATTTTATTTATTACTTTGTATAATATATTTAAAGATTTGTTTAAAACGTCTTTATTTTCTTCTTTGACGTGTTCGATGTGGACCCGTTGTCGAAATGTGTGTCCGAGAATTTTATTTTCAATAACATCGCGAGAAATAGTGAATAATTTTTTAATTTAACGATAAAAAATGTTAAATTGATATGGAATATGTATTTCAGACATTGTGAAATGTGATAGATTTAATAAATGAATGACATTACAGGTAGGTCCATAAAAATATATACTATTTTGACGTGACTACGGCTTGGCCGGATAACCGGCCTGCGGTGTCTGGGGACTCAATGCTTCTTGGCCGGATAACCGGCCTACGGTGTTGAAAGAGTTAACAAACTGTAATCAAAGAAACATTCACTGGAACATATCACACTGCATTTTCTGGACCAAATCCAATTATTTCCAGGCAACCGCCACACAGCGAATATTGCAGAGTGCAGTGTGAACAACAAACAAGTAGGACTGTACAACAGTATCACCAGTATGCTGCAATACTGCAATACGCTTTTAAAAAATATCTATTATTATTCTGTGTTCCGGATATTGGGTAAAACAAATATAACAAGTTTCATTATTATTTTTGTATAGCTAACCTAAAATCTACACAAATCGTGTTCACAAATCATGGTGCCCTTCAAAACTGATTGACACAACAGCAAAGTGATATTTCCCTCATGTTGTTACCTCCCCTGTATCCATGACTACAAAATGGCCACGACTGACCATGCTTACTTCAGTACTTAGAAAATTGAATCTACATGTTTAATCGGTGTCAATCACTGTCAAACACTTTAGTTCCCAATATATCACAATACATATCGCAATACAGACCCATGAAGATCCGTGGTAGAATAGGTCTTAAGCAACCTATGCGTGCCATAAAAGGCGACTATGCTTGCTGTAAGAGGCGACTAACAGGTTCGTATGGTCAGGCTCACTGACTTGGTTGAAGCATGTCATCGATCCCAATTGCCTGGATTGATACTCATGATGTTATTCACTGGATTGTCTGGTCCAGACTCCATTATATACAGACTGCCATCATAAAGCTGGAATATTGCTGAGTGCGGCGTTACACAACAAACAAACAAACAAACAAACAAGCAATGGCCAATACACAGCCCTACAAACAACGGGATTGGCTCACATCATCTCTGCCTCCTTGGCCTCGTCACTACTCAGGTCCTCCTCCACACTGTAATCCAGGATGGACTTCACCCCAAACTCACGGTTCCGGCTAATCAGCGGCTTGATGGCGTCGTGGTCCTCCCCAGCAACAAAGTGACCGTAGAAGGTAGACTTCATCATCTTCCTGAACAATGGCCCACCCAGAAGCTTCCGCGACCATTTCAGCAGCTGAAACACACATTGTCATGTGTCTATTATTTCATATTTATGACCATCCCGGGAGAAAAATGACCTTTACAATTCTATAGGATACACTTGTGCTGTCATAAAAAAAAGACTTTTGACATCGACTTCCGTAAAAATTGCCATGTGTGTGGATTGTACAAAAATCATGAAAATATCCTATTTTGTTCTCGTTAGTTCATAATGTAATACAACCATTTCGAAACATTTCGGCATACATGTCTACTTTCATTTAAGTAGACACTAAATTAAAAACAACAACCATTGAAACTTAAACTGTTATACCGTATTCGACGTAATAAGCGCCCTGCTCTAATAAGCGCCCACGGCGATATTTGTTAATATATTGACCAGTGAACAATCTCAAATAGCACCCCTTCCAATTGATTAATGTACACAATACTTATTTATTTGTGTATAATACGCACTCGTATGTTATATGCACCCTTAATTATGGGCAATTGAATTCTGTAAAAATATATCTGTCGTATATAAACATTTCAGGCTGTCAGCATAAACCACGAAATTTATGCTTGTCGTAAGAGGCGACTAGCGGGATCGGGTGGTCAGGCTCGCTGACTTGGTTGATACATGTCATCGTATCACATTGCGTAGATCAATGCTCTTGTTGTCAAACACTGGATTGTCTGGTCAAGACTCTATTATTTACAGACCAGGGTTTTTAAAAAATAATTGGCTGTTTGAATCAAATAAATGTAATTAAAACTGAAGACTACATGCTACTTATAAACCAACAGTGACGTCATCCTATTGTTAGGTTTCCGCAAAGAGTGGAAAGCTCACAAACTCAGTTGCTAGAATCCATGCCCCAGGCATTCTCAGAGACTTTCTAACTTAACTGAAGAGTGTTACATCACCAAAGTTTTGTATTTAATATGCATCTAATGATGATTTTTGAGTGGTTAAAAGTAACAATTTTTACATGCAAAAATATCCCACGACGAAAATCGAACCTGCAACCTCACATACCTTTCAGCTCTCGGTCATTTCTTTTTTAATATTTATTGTTCCCAGAGTTGTAGATTAATACAGTATTCCGATCAAACATATTTGTCACAGGTAGATTTTCATCAGTCTAAAGCTGCAATCCCCATCCATAACAGGCTACAGGCTTCTGAGCAGGTGCAACAACATGACATCCAGTTGCATATAGCATGCCTTGGATCTCCATGCCTTGGGCAAGTTACTAGGCTCAAAAGTATGTATGAGTAGTAAGCATCTTCTGCTACAAGCAGGACACACAGGTGAGGTGAGGTGAAATGGGGTTGCACGTGTGCGTGCGTGCGTGCGTGCGTGTGTGCGTGCTTGTACTAGTCCGGACTGATGCAAATTTATAGTGCTAGCTTTACCCCACTCAGACACAGTGACTCTGTGAGTTAGATGGCCCAGTTACCTAATGACAGCATGATCTATGCTGTCTGAATACAGCATGTGACCACATACCATTCAACATACGCCAACATTCCTGCCAAGTGATGTATGGCAGGTGATGTTGAAACTATCAACTTAACGACAGACACAGTGCACTCATATCCTGTGCTACTACAAATTAAAACAGTAACCCTTTCAGCTATTACAATTATAAACAGTTACACTCTGTGTTAGCTGTAGTCGAATATATAATAGTGTTCATGGTGTTAAACCAGTTTTACCACCGCCATTCTAGACAGTTACGCTCTCTGCTACCATCAGTCTAAACAGTTATGCTTTCTGCTACCGCCAGTCTAAACAGTTACACTCTGTGTTAGCTGTAGTCGAATATATAATAGTGTTCATGGTGTTAAACCAGTTTTACCACCGCCATTCTAGACAGTTACGCTCTCTGCTACCATCAGTCTAAACAGTTATGCTTTCTGCTACCGCCAGTCTAAACAGTTACACTCTGTGTTAGCTGTAGTCGAATATATAATAGTGTTCATGGTGTTAAACCAGTTTTACCACCGCCATTCTAGACAGTTACACTCTCTGCTACCATCAGTCTAAACAGTTATGCTTTCTGCTACCGCCAGTCTAAACAGTTACACTCTGTGTTAGCTGTAGTCGAATATATAATAGTGTTCATGGTGTTAAACCAGTTTTACCACCGCCATTCTAGACAGTTACACTCTCTGCTACCATCAGTCTAAACAGTTATGCCTTCTGCTACCGCCAGTCTAAACAGTTACACTCTGTGCTAGCTGTAGTCGAATATATAATAGTGTTCATGGTGTTAAACCAGTTTTACCACCGCCATTCTAGACAGTTACACTCTCTGCTACCACAAGTCTAAACAGTTACGCTCTCTGCTACCACCAGTCTAGACAGTTACGTACTCTGCTACCACCAGTCTAAACAGTTACGCTCTCTGCTACCATCAGTCTAAACAGTTATGCTTTCTGCTACGGCCAGTCTAAACAGTTACACTCTCTGCTACCATCAGTCTAAACAGTTATGCTTTCTGCTACCGCCAGTCTAAACAGTTACACTCTGTGCTAGCTGTAGTCGAATATATAATAGTGTTCATGGTGTTAAACCAGTTTTACCACTGCCATTCTAGACAGTTACACTCTCTGCTACCATCAGTCTAAACAGTTACGCTCTCTGCTACCATCAGTCTAAACAGTTATGCTTTCTGCTACTGCCAGTCTAAACAGTTACACTCTCTGCTACCATCAGTCTAAACAGTTATGCTTTCTGCTACCGCCAGTCTAAACAGTTACACTCTGTGCTAGCTGTAGTCGAATATATAATAGTGTTCATGGTGTTAAACCAGTTTTACCACCGCCATTCTAGACAGTTACGCTCTCTGCTACCACAAGTCTAAACAGTTACGCTCTCTGCTACCACCAGTCTAGACAGTTACGTACTCTGCTACCACCAGTCTAAACAGTTACGCTCTCTGCTACCACCAGTCTGAACAGTTACGCTCTCTGCTACCACCAGTCTAAACAGTTACGCTCTCTGCTACCACCAGTCTAGACAGTTACGTACTCTGCTACCACCAGTCTAAACAGTTACGCTCTCTGCTACCACCAGTCTAGACAGTTACGTACTCTGCTACCACCAGTCTAAACAGTTACGCTCTCTGCTACCACCAGTCTAGACAGTTACGTACTCTGCTACCACCAGTCTAGACAGTTACACTCTCTGCTACCACCAGTCTAGACAGTTATGCTCTCTGCTACCACAAGTCTAAACAGTTACGCTCTCTGCTACCACCAGTCTAGACAGTTATGCTCTCTGCTACCACCAGTCTAGACAGTTATGCTCTCTGCTACCACCAGTCTAGACAGTTACGCTCTCTGCTCCCACCAGTCTAAACAGTTACACTCTCTGCTACCACCAGTCTAGACAGTAATGCTCTCTGCTACCACCAGTCTAAACAGTTACGCTCTCTGCTTCCACCAGTCTAGACAGTTACGCTCTCTGCTTCCACCAGTCTAGACAGTTACGCTCTCTGCTACCACCAGTCTAGACAGTTATGCTCTCTGCTACCACCAGTCTAAACAGTTGATAATTGATGATAAAATCAGATAAAAAGAACCAGTGACATTGAATATGTTGAAGTTATCTTGAAAGATGATATTTTAGACACGTTTTTAATCCAAATACTCCGGATCATTTGTTTTATGGACTGTAACCATGACAAGAGAAATGATTAATTTTGCATTATTACACATTTTTATTTAAGAAATTCCATGTTGGCAATGACTCACATGTTTGCTAGTGAGTGAGTGAGTGAGTTGGGTTTTACGCCGCTTTTAACAGTATTCTAGTTATATCACGGCGTGTCAGCTTAATGTGGGAGGAAAGCCCGAAGTGATGCAGGTCCCAGACGTTTACCACTTCGGTGAAACCCACGAGCACGGGTATGGTGCTGACAAACCTAGAAACATAATCGGGGCGAACCGGGATTCCAACCCACAATCATAGGTTTCAGGCGTGCCCAAGGGACGCAACTCTGCACAGAGAATCGCGGCGCCTTAGACGACTGGGCCACCCGTGCCCCCACATGTTTGCTAGTAATTACTGTTTGTTATAAATATCGTGTAGACTTAAAGTTAAACACACAATATACACAATTGTGTTGAGGGCACACAAACAATTATGCAGTGAGTTTTGACGCCCTGTGTAATACAAGACAAATGACTAAATTTGTTGTGAAACTGACTCTATATCTCCCAAGTGTACCTGCTTAGAGAACTGTGACAATCTGAAAACACCTGCCAGCATAGTAAAGTGTTTGTGATAATTGGAAATACTAATATCATTCGCAACTGATATCATTTATAATCATATTAAGGTGGCATATTTCATGACACTAAGATTTCTGATGACCATATATATATTCTATACAGATATTTTCATGTGAGGTGAACATGACATATATTCTGATTCAGGTCTAGATATGATGATGATGATGATGATGATGATGATATAGCACATTATCATGACTATAGTGCAGTGAATGAGTAATAGTGCACTGCTATTAATAACTTTGAAATGGGGGTCAGTCCAAGTTGAACCCGTGAAGATCCGGAGTAAAATAGGTTTTCTGCAACCCAAGCTTGCCTAAAATTAAAAAAGTGATTATGCTTGTCGTAAGAGGCGACTAACGGGATCTGGTGGTCAAGCTCGCTGACTTGGGTGATGCATGACATCGTATCCCAATTTCGTGGATCGATGCTCATGATGCCAATCACAGGATTGTCTGGTACAGACTCGATTATGTACAGACCAATCTCATTAAAATCAGATCTTAGTTCTCGCTATCGCTTAACAAAGATCTGAGGACATCACATTACGGGTCATATCAGAACGACCTTTCATCCAACCAATCAGAGCGTCGCTTACCAGATCATGAAAGTGACAGACGGAATATGTTTTCTGATCATGCAACCACGAAATATTTATCAGAGGGTATTCCAAACGAGTTACGGGTTTTATGATCTTATTCATACAATCTAGGCCATCTGTAAGCCATT